AGGATGACTTAAGCCTTAAATGAAGTGTGAACAACCAAAGGCCAATGTTATTTATTTCATGACCCAAGGCTCTGTGTTTCTCATATACAAAAGATTTCTCAGGAAATCTGCCAACTCACATGCATTACTTGTAACCTGCATCACTCTGCAAAACTAATGCTCAGTGACACACGCGGTCAGCAAGGCAGGGCGACTTCTGTGCAAGCAAAAGTAAAACTCCAGTTGAAATGGGAGCCATGAATAGCACCATTCTTTTCATTTTTTTTTTTTAAGAGACTTTTTGTTATGTGGGGTATGTCTGCTTGCTGCAGAGACAGAGAGGCAGAAAGTGAGAAATCATACCCTAGAGGATATGGGGGTATGGTCACAATGCAGTTCTTTCTCCTCTAGGGATTTTTGGGCATGCACGCCCACCTGCCTGACATTAGTTTCAAGCCAATGAGTCTGGACTCGAACTGCAGTCAGTCACGTGGAAGTCCAGTATCTTAACCACAACACCAGCTGCTGTCCCCAGCACCATTTCTTTTTGCTAGCACATCTAGCACCTTAGAGCACATTAGACAAAGGTACCTTCTTTAGGAAACTATACTTTCATTTGTTAGAAAATGGTTCTTGTGGGGCCAGCAGATAGCGTAATTGTTAAGTCACTGGACTCCCATGTAGTTGACTGCAGTTCGAGTGCGGTTCAAGTCCCAGGCCCAGCAGCTTGAAATTCATGCTGGGTGCATGTGCGTGCATGCCCAAAATCCTGAGAGGAGAATGGACAAGGGATTGTGGCTTGGCCATTCCCCCTGGTGGGCGATTTCTTGCTTTCTGTCTGTCTCTGTCTCTCCAGCAAGTGCCTGCACCTGATAAAAAATCTCTCCCCATGCAAAAAAGAAGGAAGAAAGAAAAAAAAAAAGAAAATGGTTCTCATGTCCCAGATTTTGCCAGAACAAGCCACTTCACTGTCATATGCCAGGAAAAAAGGATCATAATAAATCGCTGGTGTCTACGATGTGTATAGTGATCTCTTAGAAATGACACAATTGTGCAGTATACAGCCTACACTGCCATACTAACCAGGGGTTTGGTAACTGGAATTTAAGAAACCAGTGGGCAGGAACCATCCTTATTTTAGTTCCTTTCTGATCCTCAATATCATCATCTATAATTGGGAATATTAAGAGCTATCAGCATCAGTGACTTAACACTGATTGGCCTTCCCACTAAAGTAGAAAAGTAATGATCTGTACCCGATTCGGACAGTAAGAAAGAAGACCAGGTTCCTTGATTATCACATAATAACCACACCCATAGATAGAGAGCTTACATTCTCTTCAATTCTACAAATATTCACTATTCACCCCATAACATAATTTGAGTCTTCAAATACTGAAAGTGAAAGACATGTTTGTTTGTTTGTTCATTTTAAATAACAGTGATGGGTCTCACAGCCCCCACCATATTCTCTTGCTAGAGTTTGGTATGATCAAAGACACCTCCAATGGCAAAGTATAATAGTTGATGAGGGTTAGGCATTCATTATCTGGAAAGGAAAAAGAAAGCCTGAAATGAGTTGGCTACATCAGGGTTTCTCAGTCCCAACACTATCATGCTGGGCTGGATAAATCTGTTGTGGGGAGCTGGCCTGCATATTTTATGATAGAGTGTTTAGCAGCATCCCTGGCTTCCACCCACTAGGTGTCGGTAGTACCCCCACCCCCGTGACAACCACAAATGTCTCCAGACATTACCAAATGTCCTCTGAGTAGAGGGGGCGGTCGTGCTGCCCACGGTTGAGAAACACTGGCCTACACAGAAAGCTAATGTCAAGGCCTGTGTATCGTTTTGGGGAAGTAATGAGCTGTCCAACCAAGACTTGGACTTTAAGTTCTGCTATACTGTTTTGCGACCTTAAAGGTTTTAGGCCTTTACTGCCTGTCATAAATAAAGCCCACTCTCTAGGGGGCCACTCCATGGCACAGTGGTAATACGTTGCTCAAGAGAATTCAGATCCTACATGGCGACCGCAGCACAAACGCGATGAGCACGTATACACATACTCCAGATCCAGCAGGCCAGAGAGCTGGAGGAAGGGGATTGCAGCATGACGGAGTCCAAGAAGGGTACCTGTCTCTCTGTCTCTGTCTGTTTCTCTGATGTGTGTGCTCATGCTCTATCAGGAATAAAGAAAAATATAAAACAAAAATCTAAGAAATAAACAAAACCTGGGGCCAGCAGGTGGCATGGTGGTTAAGGGTGCCGGAGTCCCACAGGGCCGACTACGGTTCGAGAGTTGGACCTGGCAGCTTGCTTTCTCCCTTTTTCTCTCTCTCACACACATTCTCTCTTCTCTGGTCGAATCGAAATAACTAAATGAATGAATAAAGTTAAATAAGATAATTATTTTAAAATAAAAAAAATAAATAAACAAAACCCAAACTCTGGCCTCTCATTTTCAGGATTTCCTCCTTTGGACGGTCTAGGAAGCAGGGCTGGGGAAAGGTCTCAGGAACTGGTGGCAGTTGCCCTCTCTGCTCACCTGGCACCTGGCCACCTCCTGAGTGCTAGCACTGCCATCTTCTCTTTGGTAATGGTGCTGTTAGCACACAGGGCTGGCGTGAGGTCAAGCCAGATACTTCTAAGCATCCTGCTGTGGCTCTCATGTGAGCCTAAGCCTGTAACTTAATTCCCACAGCACAGCGATCCGCGGCCAGACCATTGACTAGAAACTTGGGTGAAAGCAAAAGAAATGACAACACAGAAAACCTCATGACTGGATGCTGGGTTTGAATGACCCCAGTTATACCTCGGTGGTCCCCGACAGGTCCCCCAGCTAGACCCTGCCAGCCTGACTCCCAGACCACAGGGTCTACCTGAGGAGACTTGGGTCCTAGATGATAACATATTTATTTTTTGTTGTTGTTGGAGAGGATTTTTTTGCTATAGGGTGTGCGTGGTCACCAGAAAGACAGAGACAGAGAGACAGAAAGCGAGAAATCACCCCCCGGGGGAATGGCCATGCCGCAATCCCTTCTCCTCCTTTCTCCTCTTGGGATCTTGGGCATGCATGCACATGCGCCCGGCGTGAGTTTAATCCACCGGGTCCAGGACGTGAACCGAGGTCGACTACAGGGAGTTCAGCAACATAGCCATTATGCTAATTGCTGGTCCCAGTGATAACATATTTCCATCTCAGCTTCTTGTTTTTTTTTTTTTTTTTTTTTTTCGTTTTTGCCCCAGTTGAAATGCAGATTTCATGGTTTTCTAGTTATATGATTATCAGAGTCCCAACACATGGCTGAGATCCTATACTGAAACCAATAAACAAAAGCCTGAAATTCCTCTTTTCTTTCCTGTTCCTCTTGCTCCTTGGGGCCTTTTATCCCAGTCCTGTTTTTACTCGATCAGCATGTGAGGGGCAGGAAAGAGGCGGGCAAAGTTGTCTAACAAGGGAAGGTAGACGGCACACCTGCCGGCCAGATGCTGCGAGCTTTTATAAAAGGTAACAACGTATGTAACAAATTTCCCCCAAATTACAATCCTCAGAGAGAGTGGGTTAGAAAAATAAATTTAGAGAGAAGAGTGGCAGATGGGATAGATGGATTCAATTAAGGCAAAGAACATCAAACAATTCCGGGGCCGCCTCATTTTAATGGAACATGTCATTTTCTCCTCGTCGCCTCCAAGTTGCTCCCAACAACAGTCTAGGTAGGAAGTAGGGTGCCTCAGCCCCAGGAGGAGTTTAATAATCCCAAGTGAGAGAGCTAATATTCCCTCTCCTCTGCTTTTCAATAATGTGGGTGCAATAGCACATGAATCAGACTAAGTGAATGCGGGAAACATATTAGATGCTCTTTCTACAGAACAGGTGTTATTCAAATGAAATAGGTGTTTTCCATTGTCATCTCCGCAGAACAGGTTCTTTATTTGGTCTATGAAAGAGTCTCCTTTTTAATTAAACCAATCACGCTGTCATTTTCTTAAGAAAGATAATAAACCAATAAAAATATTTATATCCCTTTTATCTTTGTTAACGTTAATCATAAGAGGAAGAGAATGTTGTACCTTTGCTAGACAGTTTTATCATATAGACATTATAATAACACGCTGTACGTTACTGTGGTGCAGGTCACTTTATTCCTATTAAGAATGTACAGTAGTCCCCCCTTATCCGTAGGAGGTATGTTTCAAGACGCCTAGTGGATGCCTGAAACCATCAACTGGAAGTACCAAACCCTGTATATAGTGTACTATTTTCTAAGCTTATTTATTTATTTCTCCTGTGAGCAAGAGACATGCAGAGTAAGGGGGAGAGAGAGAGGGAGAAAGAGAGAAAGAGAGAGAGATTACACCCCCAAAAGAGTACTGAGACTACAATCCACTCCCAGTCTCAGCTAGCACTGGATCTTGGGCAAGTGCCTGCTTGGCATTCTCAGGGAGGTCTCCAGACTTGAACTGTGAACCTTCCCATGTGAGCATGCCTTGCAGAGTATTGCATTTTACCACTGAACCACCATCTGGCTCCTATATATTTTTTTCCCTTCATTGGATAATGAAGTCAACTATTAAGTGACTAACAGGTAGGTAGAACACACAGCATGGATATGCTGGACAATAGGATGGTTCATATCCAGGGCAAAAAAAGAGCTTGGTGGGGCAAGGTTTCATCATAAAACTTGGAACAGTGCACAATTTAAAACTTATGACTCATTTGGGAATAGCAGTTGGCATAACGGCTGTGTCACTGGACTCTTACGTAGCTGACCATGGTTCAAGTCCTGGGCCCGGTGGCTTAAACTCACACCGGGTACATGTGCGTGTGTGCCCAAGATCCCGAGAGGAGAATAGAGGAGAAGTAATTGCGGCGTGGCCATCCCCTCCTGGGCGGGTGTGTGTGTGTGTGTGTGTGTGTGTGTGTGTGATTTCTTGCTTTCAGTCTTTCTCTCTCCGTCTTTCTGGCAAGCGCATGCACCCTATAACAAAAACCTCTCCCCCCAAAAAAAAAACCCAAAAAAACAAAAAAACTTATGACTTGTTTATTTCTGGAATTTTCCATTTAATATTTTCACACCATGGCTGGTTGCAGGTAGCTGAAACTGTGGAGTGTGAAATGGGGACCACTGTTTAAGATCTCCTCTAACGGTATTTGTAATCACTCACTACAAAAGGGAATTCAAATCTGCAATAGATTTGCCACATACATAATTAATATATAATAATACATATGCACCATGCTGACCTGAATATTACTGCTATCTGACCTCACTTTTCATCCAAAGTCAAGTATAAAAGTCTAACAATTTGATGAGCAATGTTTTCTTTATTCTTTGGCTCCCAGCAATGCAATTTGATCGACACCCCATGTTATCCAATAAACTTTTAGATGGATGATAGTTTCACAAAGCTGGTATTTTTGTCTCTATGGTCAGCAGAAAAACTGTGAAAGCCTTAGAGCAGAAAGTATAATCGTCCTCCATACCTCTAACTCCAACAGTGAATGCATATTCCAGTTATCAATTAAATATTGCAATGGATCCAAAGTTGTCTTTTGTAGAGATGCTAAATCCCTTTTAGATTGCAGTCCCGTAGATTACTATGCTACAAAGTAACATCTCCCGGCTATAAGGGAATAAATTTTAGGCAGTCATAGCATCTTCACGGTCCTGCGCAATAATCCACACTTGACAGACTCAGCTGCGGAAATAGGGAACCACGGCTTCTGTGTAACTGCGGAACCCTGACCTCTTCTGATGATAAGCCACCTTTGATTTTTTTTTTGAGTGGTTCACATATAACGGCCCCCATGTGAGGAGGCAGAATTCTTGAAGCTTATGTCACTGACTTCCAGAAAGTAGACTCACTCAAGTGGCTACTGGCAGGATTCACCTCCTCACAGGCTGCTGGACTCAGGGTCTCAGTTCCTTGCTGGCTTTTGGCCAGAGGCTTCCCTTGGTTTCAGGGGGCAGCTCACAACATGACAATGGACTACTCTTAGAGAAAGAGGAGCAAGAGAGAGTAGGCAGACAGAAACCATGGTCTTTTTAATAACCCCACCTCAGAAGGTTAGCACATACAGCATGGCTATCCTGGATGAAAAGATGGTTCATGTCCAGGGTGGGGAAGCACTTGGTGGGGTGAGATTTCATCTGCTATCATGCAGGTCTTCTTTTTGCAATATTCTGTTTGCTAGAACCACGTCACTAGATCCAGCCCACTATAAAAAGGAAGGGAATCACACATGGGCCTGAGTACTAGGAAGTAGGGATCATTGGGGGACATCTCAGAGCCACCTACCTACACCTTCCTTGTGTGTACAGTCATGAAGAAATACAAACACCAAAATAGATCATCAATAGAGGAGAAACGAGGAAAGCAGGGAGGGAAGGGAAAATATTTCAGCAGCTAACGACTTATGCCTCTAAGCGCTCTCTTACTCTCCCTCCCGATCCTGCCAAATGACATCCTCTCTGATAGGTACTTTCTGCAGTCTCTCACCTGTCTTCTCTGCTCTACCTGTAAGACGCCAAAGGTCATGCTTCATCTCTTTCCACCATGAACCCTGAAACGTTACCTTTTTCTACCCAGCCTCTAATCCAACATGTCCTGGACACCTCAGCCAGAGTTAATCTTTCTGTCACACTCGCCTTATCTTTATGGTGGAGAAAGTGCATCTTCAGTGGCTGCCCAGTGTCACACAAAAGCCAGGATCTTTAGGTTGCCATTCAGTGTCTTCCATAATTTCACCCAGACCTAGTTATGAGTTACCCAAACTCATCACCCGAACTCCCGGTCACAACTCACCATCCCAGGTAAACCACACACGACACCTACACACACCATGCCGATGCTCCGCCCGAAGCCTCTGTCACATCACCCGTCCCTTCCTTTGGCAAGGCCAGTCTTCATTTTACCACTGTAAATCCTTCCTCATTTCCTAGATGCAGAGCAGGTGCCATCTTCTCTGTGATCTATTTTCTTTCATTCTTTTTAAAAAGTTTATTTCCTCCATGACAAAGAGATAGAGACTGAGTGACAGGTACCTTAAACAGGGTCTCCGTTGTAATCTACCACCAGTCCCTGCCAGCCTGGATCACAGGTACCCACCCCAATGTGCACACGGAGGTGGGCCCATGTGGGTCCCACCACCCAGCTCCTCTGTGACACATTTTCTGATCGATCCTAAGTGGACTTCAGTTCTTTGTTGAATAGGCACAGCCTTGAGAGACCCCACCACTCTCAGATCATTGTGCACAAGGCGTGTTCTCCTCAGGAGTCCATTCCTTTCATACATTCCTTCTTGCAGAGACCACCGGTCTGCATCTCTGAGGACTGGGATGTGTCATCTTTCTCTCCTGAGGGCCGCTGCTCCAGGCATGCATTGTTGGAAAGGTGGATGGAGGGAGGGATGGGTGGAAGGCAGTGTCAGGTACAGGGTCTAGCATACTGTAAAAGGTAGATAAGGAATAAAATATTGATCATCCTCAATCCTTAAAATGGGAATTCTCCATCCCGCAGAACCTTAGCTATGTTAAGAATCCTTCCAAAAAGAGCAAAAGCGAATGAAATGTAGCTGGGTCTGACATAAACTAGCCAATTCACAACATCACAGCTGAAGACCAACCCTTAGCTCTTCCCTCCTGGCCTGTCCCAACGTTGGCTTTGAGGTACAGGGCGCCAAGGACAGGGACATTACCTAGCCGTCAGGGTAGAACTCGGTACAAAGCTGCTGCTGCTGCTGCTTCTTTTTCTTTATCTTCTTCTTCTTCTTCTTCTTCTTTTTTTCTTAAGAATTAGAGCCCTTGGCAGTGGTGTGAACTACTGTAAGGAGAAGCTGAGGAAAAAGAGGGAAATAGGTCCATTTTTTTTGGGGGGGGTCCATATATTTGAGGTAAACCTTAGTAAATAAACAGATTTAAAAAAAAAAGAAATAAGACTTTTTAAGGCCTTTGTTGCTTATGCCTCGGGACAGGGGAAGAAATCTGGATTAAATCAGCAAAAGTCTCCAATCCAGAGGAAATCCAGCGCTCCCTTTCTAGCGCGGTAGGGCAGTTAAATCTGGGGTGATTCTCCCGAGAATCAGACTGCTAGCCACAGCTGGCAAGCGCTAATCTGGACCACCGCCCTCGCACGGCAGGAGCTCCGGACACCGCTGAGAAGCGAGGCCGGCTAGCCTTCCAGGAGCCGTGAATTCACTCTGGCGCTCTGGTAGTCTGGAGCTAAGTCTACGCTGTGGTCCTCTGAGCGCCAGAGACATCCATCGCCAGGGAATCTGGCGGCGCTGGGATCCTGAGTTTTGAGTTTTGCATGCCCAGCAGCCCGAGATGGGAAGGAAACTCTTCTCGCCCCAAACTCACCTGCTCTTTTAGAATCACTTCCATCTACCCACTGGTTTCAGCTCACCGAGGCATCTGCAGAACCTGCACGGTCCAAGATCCAAGAGAGAGGAGAGAGGGTGAAGGGGTGGGGGTTTGGAGGCGGGGTCACTAGGGCCTCCTTTCTGGCTCGGGGTGGTCGTGTGTGTGGGTGGGTGCAATCTTACTCAGCTCCTCCCCACTAAGTCCCCAGAAATCCCACGGGGTGGCCTCACCGTAGGCAACAGGGATCTGGAGAGAGAGAGAGAGGGGCAGGCTGGAAAGGCTGCCTGCAAAAACTTTCGGTCCTCCAGCAGCAACTCCTCGGGAAAAGACCACCCCTCCTTCGGTCCGGGTCCTGCCTCTCTCCGCGTCCCCGCCCCGCACGCCCCGCCTCTCTGCTGCCCCTGGCGGCCGCGGACGCCGCAAGCCCAGCCGAGCCGGCTCCGGGCGCCCGAGCGCCGGCCCCTCCTCCCCTGCTCTCTCCTCCTCCTCCGCCTCCCTCCTCCCATCCCTCCCTCCCCCTTTCAGAACACTCAATGTCGGAACGTTCCGAAGATGACGTCGGAGCGTTCTCGAATCCCGTGTCTCTCGGCTGCTGCTGCCGAAGGAACAGGGAAAAAGCAACAAGAAGGAAGAGCAATGGCGACACTGGATCGCAAAGTGCCCAGTCCGGAGGCGTTTCTGGGCAACCCCTGGTCCTCCTGGATCGACGCCGCCAAATTACACTGCTCCGACAGTAAGAACCCCACCGCCTCCTCCTCCTTTTATTATCCTGTAACCTTTCCATTCACCTAGGGCCACTGGGAAAAAGTGTGTGTGTGAGAGAGAGAGTGGCCCCCGGTGTCCTCCATGCTTCTCCCTCTCTCTCTAAATAAATACACACAGACACAGATCATCAATGCACAGAGAGAGGCCCGGCTGCCAGGCTGGCTGTCTGTCTGTCTGTGCCCGGCTCCCCGTGGCAGCCCGCGGGGTGGGCTTTCGCAGCCCCACGGTGCTATCTGTTTAAAAGGCTACTCTGTTGCTGCTTGCATAGTTTTTTTGGTACCTATCTGGGCCAGGTAAATGGAAACCCGGACTTGGGAGAAAATGTTGCATTGTCAATTTTTGAAAGATTTTCATATACAGTCTTTATATCGATCTGTTTGCAAATAAACACTCTCCCTCCCCCCTTGACTTTGGCTCCCCCCCCCCTTTTTTCTTCTCTTTCTTATTTGCTTTTTCCCTTTTCTTTTTCATCTGCAGATGTAGATTTAGAAGAGGCTGGAAAAGAGGGTGGAAAAAGCAGGGAGGTTATGAGGCTTAATAAAGAAGGTAAGTGGAGCTACTGGCATTTTAGTGTTAGCATGTGTGGTAGAATCTTCACAGGATTTCAAATATAATGTGAATTGTTCTGCTGGGTACAGAGTGACTAAGGCTTGTCAAAAATCGAGCACGCCCAGGTGACTACTGCTTCGTGTTAACTTCTTTCAAAGTATAAATGCCACTGGGGGGTAGAGGGGGGGGGAGACTGTGGAAGGGAGAAGTTTACTGCACTTCAGTTGGAGTCCACGTTGCAACCTTCTAATGCATTTCTGCCATTCTCCTTTGGAGGAGCATCAGTGCCAAATGGTGGGGGTAGAAATCTCTGAAATGAGGGGTTCCCTTCCCAAGCATCCCAGCCTTCCTTGTGGGTGAATGCACAACTTAATGACCCCCCATGTAGCCAGTCATTCCAGGAGCTACTTGTCCACTGTCCACTGGAAACCACTGTACATGGCAAACGTTTGTGGCAAGTCGCATTCGCCCACTTTGCGTTTGGTCACAGATTGATGTGGTCCTCAGGGTGAGGGGCATCTGCATGTGCAGCCCCCCAGCTGCTCTTCCCTCTCTGTCTTCCCAGCGTGGAAATTCGGTACCTGAAATGGCACACAGTGAGTAGCTAGGTCATCCCAGACCAAGTCATGCAAGTGAAGCCCTGGCCTGCTGGAACTGGGCATTGAACACACATGGTCGTCATAAATAAATCATATCCTGTTCATGTTTGCAAGCCTACCATATGTAACTCTGGCCTATGGGCTTCGAATAGAGCCACTCTAGAGAGCACTTTCTGCTGAACAAATGGATGGGTTTGTTTGAATTGTGATTCACTAACCGATGACTTCTAAACACAACTGGCTGAAACTGAAGGTGGGGGAAGGCACAAGGGGGCAGAAGAGCCCATTAGCTTGTGCTCCCCCCCCCCTTTTTTCTTCTCTTTCTTATTTGCTTTTTCCCTTTTCTTTTTCATCTGCAGATGTAGATTTAGAAGAGGCTGGAAAAGAGGGTGGAAAAAGCAGGGAGGTTATGAGGCTTAATAAAGAAGGTAAGTGGAGCTACTGGCATTTTAGTGTTAGCATGTGTGGTAGAATCTTCACAGGATTTCAAATATAATGTGAATTGTTCTGCTGGGTACAGAGTGACTAAGGCTTGTCAAAAATCGAGCACGCCCAGGTGACTACTGCTTCGTGTTAACTTCTTTCAAAGTATAAATGCCACTGGGGGGTAGAGGGGGGGGAGACTGTGGAAGGGAGAAGTTTACTGCACTTCAGTTGGAGTCCACGTTGCAACCTTCTAATGCATTTCTGCCATTCTCCTTTGGAGGAGCATCAGTGCCAAATGGTGGGGGTAGAAATCTCTGAAATGAGGGGTTCCCTTCCCAAGCATCCCAGCCTTCCTTGTGGGTGAATGCACAACTTAATGACCCCCCATGTAGCCAGTCATTCCAGGAGCTACTTGTCCACTGTCCACTGGAAACCACTGTACATGGCAAACGTTTGTGGCAAGTCGCATTCGCCCACTTTGCGTTTGGTCACAGATTGATGTGGTCCTCAGGGTGAGGGGCATCTGCATGTGCAGCCCCCCAGCTGCTCTTCCCTCTCTGTCTTCCCAGCGTGGAAATTCGGTACCTGAAATGGCACACAGTGAGTAGCTAGGTCATCCCAGACCAAGTCATGCAAGTGAAGCCCTGGCCTGCTGGAACTGGGCATTGAACACACATGGTCGTCATAAATAAATCATATCCTGTTCATGTTTGCAAGCCTACCATATGTAACTCTGGCCTATGGGCTTCGAATAGAGCCACTCTAGAGAGCACTTTCTGCTGAACAAATGGATGGGTTTGTTTGAATTGTGATTCACTAACCGATGACTTCTAAACACAACTGGCTGAAACTGAAGGTGGGGGAAGGCACAAGGGGGCAGAAGAGGTTGGTGGGAGGTGTTAAAAGAGTTTAGATGTAACTAGGCCATAGGAGTGTTGCTCACCCAAAATGAATGGGAAAAGGCCGTTAGATTTCTGATCCTCTCCTGAAAGGAAATGTCTCCTGGAAGGCAGCTGAAATCTGGTTGGAAAGATGGAACTCAGTTTGTGGGTCAACACCCAAGAGTTGGTTTCTGTGCTCAGTCATATCCTGAGCATTCAGTAAAATGAATGCTGGTGCTTCAGAAAAAAATAACATGGAGATTAAAATGCATGTATGTGGGACCAGCAGATGGTGTAATGGTTACGTTGCAGGACTTCCATGTAGTCGACTGTGGTTCAAGTCCCAGACCCAGTGGCTTTAAACACACCGGGCATGTGTGCATGCGTGCCCGAGACCCCAAGAGGAGACTGGAGGGGAAGGGATTGCAGTGTGTCCATGCTCCCTGGGGGGTGATTTCTCACTTTCTGTCTCTTCGTCTGTCTCTCTGGTGAGCGCACATGCCCTATAGCAAAAATCTCTCTTAAAAAAAAAATCATGTATATTCCAGGACAGTTCTTGAGCGCAGTTTTTCTGCTAATTATGCACTTTGGGAACAAACATTATTCTAAAGATGTTTGCGTCTGAATATCTTAGCATGGTCTTGACGTGTGTCTTTCAGATGCAGGGAGAATGATGGCAAATGGACTTCTTACAAGTGGCAGCTTATTTGTGCTAAATGTCGGTGTATGTTGGCAATGGAAAGTATCTCTAGCAATTGTTCTTTTTCACAGACTCTTAAGGTCTTTTTTTTAAAAAAAATATTTTATTTAACTTTATTTACTTATTTATTTTAATTTGATAAGAAACAGATAAAGTGAGATAGAGAGAGAAGGAAAATGAGAACCCAGGTTCAGGCCCCCTCCCAGTGCCCTTAACCGCCATGCCACCTACCGGCCCCAGCAGACTCTTAAGGTCTTAAAAAGCTCATGAATCTCAGTTATCAGACCGCTGGCCAGGTTCCCACGAAAGGCAATGAAGTTATGAAAATCTTTAAAGTTGAGTAAGAGTGGTGGAGTGGGATAGGACTGGCACCTCTCAGGTCCAGGTGGTGCAGTGTCACAGTAATCCATGAAACTCAGTTCTTCCCCTACACCCTCCCGGCTTCTGTTTCAAAAGACTCTTGTTCTCAGATTCTCTTTGCCTTAGGAGAATTGAATTCTTTTAAGGAAAAATGAAAAGCACTCCTTTCCTCAGAAGTCCCAAGTGCTACATCCTGCTTATTATGTCCTTTGTCCTGTAAAGGTACAGAGATTTAGCTCCTAATGATATGCATTCATATCAAGGATACCCACTGCTCAGTGAAACACGCAGTTGCTGGCTTCACCAAAATAGCCATGTCCAGGCTGAGATGCCTTTGTTCACGGGCCTGGTGGAGCAGACTTGGGTGAGCAATCCCTGATGGTCTTTGTGGCATCTGCGCACGGTTTCTTTGAGGATAAATACCCATATACTAAGTACATATGCACCCATCGTGAGCAAAGACTGTGTGTCAGGGCGTTTGGTGCTTGGCTCTCCAGTGATGCTGGCTGCGTTAGCCTTACCGCAGGGCTCCTCGTGGGCGTTGTCGTGGGGGAGGTCTTAGGATGGATGCGTGTTTGTGGACAGGTCACTGCAGGACACAAAGTGGCCTGTGACTGTGCGTGGATCTACGTGTCTGAACATACATAGATGGACTTAGGCTATTGGCAATAAACAGGTCTTGAGAAGAAATTTACCACTAAAACGATAAACGAATGAAGTAACATTTCAGAATTCTGAGTGAGAAATGAAGGAATATGATTCAGATTTTGATATGAATTTTTTTGTGGTAGAGTATATATATAAAACACAAAATTTACCACGTTAACCATTTTTGGGAGCACAGTTCTGTAGCTGAAGTACATCAACAGTATTGTACAATCATCGTCATTATTCATTTCTCAATTTTTTGGTCATCTCAACCAGACACTCTGTACCCTTAAACAATAACTCCCCATTCAACCCACCTCCTCAGCTAGTGACCCATATTCTACTTTTTGTCTCTATGAAGTTGCATATTCTAGATACCTCATATAAATGGAGTCATGTAATATTGATCCTTTCGTGTCTAGCTTATTTCACTTAGCATAACATTTTCACTGTTTGTCCGTTTTTTTCTCCAATTGCCAGAGGGCATGTATACTTACCAGAGAGAGATAGACAGAGAGAGAAAGCTCCTCCCCAATGGAATGTGGTCATGCTGCAGTCCCATCTCCATTTGTTCATCCTTTCAAGATTTTGGGCACACATGCACACACACCTGGCATGCTTTTTAAGCCACTAGGACCAGGATTCTAACTACGATCAGCTGTGTGGGATCTTGTTCCCTTACCGCCCCATCCATGTTGTAAGTTGTATCAATACTCCATTCCTTTTTAAGGATAAATAATATCCCACTATGTGCATGGGGAGGGTGTACCACATTTTGTTTATCCACTCATCTGTTGATAGATGTTTGGATTATTTTCAGTTTGTGAATAATGCTTCTACGAACTTCATTGTGATGTATGTGTGTGTGTATGTGTGTGTATGTACTTTTTTTTTTTTTTTTTTTGGATAGAGAGATTCTTGCTACAGGGCACATGTTCTTGCTCTGTTTATCCACTCATCTGTTGATAGATGTTTGGATTATTTTCAGTTTGTGAATAATGCTTCTACGAACTTCATTGTGATGTATGTGTGTGTGTATGTGTGTGTATGTACTTTTTTTTTTTTTTTTTTTGGAGAGATTCTTGCTACAGGGCACATGTACTTGCTAGAGAGACAGAAGGATAGAAAGTGAGAAATCACACCCCATGGGGGATAGCCATACTACAATCCCTTCTCCTTCATTCTCCTCTTGGGATTTTGGGCACGCACACACACACACACCTGGCATGAGTTTCAAGCCTCTGGGTCTGGGATTTTGACTATGATCGGCCACGTGGGAGTCCAGTGACATAACCATTATGTCATCTGCTGGTCCCATAATATATTTTTTATAGACTAAGCTCAGGGAAGGAAGTTAGGCTGGAAATGCAATGGAATCATTTTGCTTTCTGCCTCTATCCGGCCACAGCATCAGAAGACTTGCAGACTTGTTGAATAACCTACTTGTTGCAGTATAGTTCCTTTCCTGTCCTTCGTCCCTTCAACTTTCTCTGCTTCAGTTCTTCATCCACGTCAAGTGTGATGAGCGCTTTAAGTTTCTTTGATAAAGTCTTCACATCAATGTGTAGTTTCATCCAAAATTGGCTAAAATTCTGGTCAAGAAGAATTTGCTGAGTACTTTTCAACCTCGTGAGTCACCCCCTGGTTCAGAAGCTGTTGTTAATTCCACGCTTAGATGTGGTTAGATGCAGTTCTATCCAGGACAGCCTGACAGGGTGAAAGGAGCAGGACCCAGGGGTCCGAGTCAGCTTCTCCAGTTTTGATATGTCCTTGGGGTCCGAGTCAGCTTCCCCAGTTCTGATATGTCCTTGGGGTCCGAGTCAGCTTCCCCAGTTCTGATATGTCCTTGGGGTCCGAGTCAGCTTCCCCAGTTCTGATATGTCCTTGGGCATGCCATTTCCCTTTTCTGGGTCTGTTCTCTGGTCTATAAAATAAGGGGATGGGATTGAATGTCCTCTAAGATCCCTTTTAGACCTCGACTCCTAAACTTCTCTGTTGTATGAACCTACCTTTGAGATATAGTTACACCAGACAAACTGTTAAAAAAAAAAAGAAAAAACTTAGGGCTGAGTTAGGGAGCCAGATTCCATATGACCAAGTGTGTGGTTTGAGTCCTGGATTCACTTGAAAAACATGAGCATGTGTGCATGTATGCCCAGAATCTTGAAAGGCTGGCGTAATGGAAGAGAAGGGATTGTGGTGTGACCATTGTCTTACTGGGGAATATTTTCTTCCTCTCTTCTCAACCTCTCTCTGGCAAGCGTATGCACCCTTTGGCAAATAAAAGGGAAGGAAAGAAAGAAAGGAAGGTGGAAGGGAGGGAGGAAGAAAGGGAAAGAAAAAAAATGAAACATAAAAAAACAAGGGTTCATGTTAAAAATATCTTAAACTGTTCAATATTAAAAATAACTGT